CAGATATCGGTGGTTTTGGATAATTATTGTGGAGGATTAATTATTATGGATTCAAAGATTTATAATTTAGTTTTTTTTTGCTATTTTATTTGTTCTTAGTATTTCTTTTGTATTCAAATGCTTGTTTATTACTTAATTGTTTGATATCCCTCGGGTTTGAGTTTGGGCCTGATCAACCCATGTCTCGGAGTTGAGGAGTATCACAAAACTTTCCCTGGGATCCCTTCACGGTGGCATGACGCTATAAGAAAAAGTAAACGAGTCAAAAATGATAACACTAAAATACACACTAGAACGGAGTCCTCATATGAATTACTTGACATGAAATGACAACACTTAAACACTTTCCATACTCCCGAAATACCCAACCAATGATAAACATGATCATGATAATAATATACATTAACTTTAAACACTTAGCACGTATTCACATAAGCATTTAAGCATTTAAGCAGTTAAGCAAATAGGCAAATAAGCATGCTTTTTAAATATTTAAACACTTCAACACATAAACATATAGGCATGCAATTCAACTTCCCATGCAATCCTAGGTAGGTCTCTACCCGTCGTCCTAATGGTATTCGAACCATTGCTCTGATACCAAATTTATAACGACCCAATAAGATGCCGGTCGATCGATACACAAATTCAGTCGACGGACATAACCTCAGTAGAAAAGAGTCCTACTACAACCTCTTGTAATGCAAATGAAATGCAATGGCCTTACTTGGGCCTTCAAAACTGAACTAACATGCTCTAACACACAATGTAAATAATAAACCTTAATCCAAAATCTACAACATCGACACCATTTTCAAAAGAGTTTATCATTATCCCATTCACCTCCAAATATATATAAACATAGCTATTACATGCATCATTGGTTATTAGTAGGACATTTGAAACTTACATCAAATACAAACAAGGTTCTTGACTTCATTTACAAGTCACGATACACAAAATGTACATATCTTAATAAAGTTACACAAAATGAGACTTAGGTACAAGAGGTAACAAAATAAACTTCTAAATCCTGCCTACACTTGTGGTGGAATGTCGTCCATCACTTCTTTCCCGTGTCCTGAAAAATGTTAAAAATAAGGAGTGAGCACAAGGCTCAGTAGTAGTCGCTTAAGGCGTCAATTTTGGACTCCCTTGAGCCACGCAACACATAAAGGGATATAAGATTTCGAGATCATGCATTGGGAGTCAATACAGTAGTAATTTCATTTCAAACAAGTATTCATCTCAGCAACACAATATATTTCATCAATGCGCTATGTATGATGTAGAATACAATACACCCCTTCCCGTACTCAGTCTTTCCCAACCTAACTTTCCATTTTCGAAAACCACTAACTGACTTTACCAAGGAGAGATTGATATCTATTCCCGGTTCCAAATTTGGCAACCGTTTTGGGCCTAGTATCAACTTTTTCACGCCCTATACCAAGCCGCGCTCCCTTTAGGTCAAGTTAGCCACAGACTCGCGAAATCCAGTTCATTTTAGAAAAACTTCCCTCTTCAAAGAACAACTTTTCTTTTATAAAAACTTTCCTTCTCCAACCCTTTTCAAAAAAACCCCTTTCTTTGCCATGTTATGCAATGCACTACTTTCATTTATGAAACAACTTGATATATAAACATGGCATTCTTCATAATTCTAAGACGACATGAACATCTTCCACATCACTATTTCAAATAAGGCATTTGCAAGTACTAATCATAAGCATGCTTAATAAAAGATCACATGCGTACTACCATCAAGTTATCAACCATACATTAACACAACTTTTATAGAGCCAAGTCAAGCATGTTTTTGACACATAATTGGAAACAAGTTATGTTTTAAGCACTTAACACATTGTTAACATATACAGAGCAACAATTTCATTTCCAAAATTTACAAATTTTTAGAATAACAATGAAGTAGAGATGGAATTACTCAATTAAGAGGCAAAGATTGAAGCATTAGAAGATCCCTACCTCAAATTGAGAATAAACCAAGCAAAGCCCTAAATTCAGCCCCAAGAACCCCAAAATTTGAAATTTCAAAAGTGCTCCAAACTATAAATTGCTCCGATCAAAACAAAGGTCTCGACAAGCTCATCAACTTTGCCTTAAGTGGCAAGATCAAATTCTCAAAGAAAATCTCTAGATCTTGGCTTAAAATTGTGTAGAGACAAAAAAATAAAAATAAATAAAAATAAATAAATAAATAAAAAATAATGAGAGTGAGGGAGGGAACTGACGTGAGAGAGTGAGAGATTAAGGGTCTGTAATGACCCAAAGGTCATTATAATGGCATATATCAAGGGTTGGTCCCACGACCTACATAAAAATCTCACTTCTTTATTTTAACAAACATATACACTAACCAAGCTACAGCCACCAAATAAACATGTAAACAAATAATCTATGCACAAAATAACAATACATGAAATGCAATGGAACCGAAATGCAACCCCTGTGCACAACGACTCCGGTAACACTCCGGCACGCAAAACAAGACAAGGATTAAAATAATCCAGAAAAATAAAAATAAAAACCTAGAAAATGGAAAATGAGAAAATCGGAACCATTACAGCATATCCAGGACCAATAGATTGGCTAGAAATCTAAGTCTACCAATATCTAGTGTCACAGGCCTATCACTCTCATGCAAAATAGAAGTAACACATATAGGTGTAGCAATGTTATGAGGTCGATCACATAATTGCGTAGTCATCCTTGATAATACAACAAATGAACTAAACACGAATGAATGTGTAGCACCCGTATCAAACAAAATACGACCATATCTACTGTGTATAGGAAACGTACCCTCTATAGCCTGAGGAGTATGAACATCATGTGGCATGTGATTATACACCTTGCCATAATGCAATTGTTCTGATGCCTGTCCCTGTGGTGGCGGTGGCGCTGGTAAAGCCGAGAATGTCTGTCCCTGAATACGCGGCATCTGTGGAGGTACTAATGATGGTTTTTTGGTCCAGAAATAATGAGAAAAATATGAATTTATGAAATTACTGTTTAATTTTTTTTTAAGTTAACCAATTTTAGAAAAAAAAAAAATTGTGTATATTACATAAGGGGTATTGACGGTATTAATTTCATGCTCTTTAGTTTTTTTTTACCTTTTTTAAAATGTTAATTATAAGAGGTACTTTTGTAAATGCATAATGAAGTCGACCGAAAAGGTACCGGAAATGACTAACAAAGAGTAATTTGCACGCTTTTAATAGTTGTGTTATTGACTTGCTCACTTTTGTAGTTCAGGTGGTAATATGTTGATTTTTGATAGTTGAAAGGTTAGTAACAATATCCTTCAAAAAAATATAGGGTTAAGTGCAAAAAACCTCCCTAATATATAGAGTTTGTGCAGAACTAGTCCTTACTTTTTAAAAATGTGCATTTTAGTCCATAAAATTCAAAAAATGTGCAAATAAGCCCATCTGACTACTTTTTGACAAAAACTAAATATGAAAACCCTATTTTACCCTTTTAATTTCCATTTTGTCCCTCACCTATATGTGCATATAAACCGATACCCATTTCCTTCACTCAGCTTCATTCCATTTGGGTATACCCATGTCTAATGGGTTAACCCTTTTTTATTTGGTATTCCTCCACTCAGCTTCGTTTCATTTGGGAACCTAAAATCTCTGTCAACTACCGTTCAAACAAAATAAAAACCTAATTCCGATACAAAAATCAATAATCTAATCCGATAATTTTGTGTAAGATAGATAAAGTCAAAAACCTTAATTCTCTACTCCAATACAAACATCATGAAAGGAAACAAAAATCAAATTTGGCATTCAAAAAAACCAATTGATGAATCACAGTTGAAGATCAGGGAAAAAAAAAGGCCGGATGTAGGTGTTCGTTGTCATCTTCGGCATATGCATCGTTCTGGTTCACTTCGCGTTGAATGATTTGTGGCTTTTTTTCCATAGATTTTCACCTCTTTGCCTTGTTCATTTATCTTCTTCTTCAATTCCTATCATTGCTGGAGTTGGAGGTAGACCATAGAGAGGGAAAAAGAGAGAGGAAGCCGGATCGGAGCCGTCGTGATGCTGATCTTGCACCCTACGATAACTCTCTTGCTCTAATTTATTCTGAATCTAGTCCATTCGTTGAAACATGGGTGATGATGGAAGTATGCTTAAATTAAGACTTTAGTTAGTTGGAGATTGAAGAGGAATGAGCAATTAATGATACTACCAGTACCCAAAAAAATTAAAGGACCCATTTCAATGGCATTTTGTTATATGTATATAGAATAGAAATCTTAATCTTGCTTCTTCCTTTTATTTATTTTTTTAAGAAAAAAAAAAACTTCCTTTGATTTCTAAAAATGGTTAAGTGTGTTTTATATGGTAGGGGAATGTTTGGTATGGGTTTTTATTATATCCAATTTTAGGTTTCTTTGGTTTAGGTTATCCAAATTTTATATAATTTGAGGTTTATTTTATTCTTGTTCCAAACAAACACAATTTTACGCAAATTGGACAAAATAATTATTTTACAAAGCCTGTATTTATAGTTATTAATTTATTCAGTTGAAGGGAGGGTATTATCGTCATTTTATACCACACAGAGACCTATTTGCACTAAAATGATAGTATAGGGATTTTTTACCACACAAGAACCATTTTGCATTATATCAATAGTAAATGAAATTTTTTGGACTTAACTCAAATATATATATATATATATATATATATATATATATATATATATATTAGTAACAATATTAATATGACAAAGAGTTGGAGTATTATTTTAAATTAGTATAGTTTCATATATATTTTTAAATTTTTTTAATTACAATATCTATTGATGTATCTTTATCGTATTAACGGATTCATATTCTATTTATTTATTTGACTTGGTATTTTAGTGACACCTCATTGGTTGTCCCAACAGTGTTTGACATGTCAAAAGCCCTATTTGTCTGCCAATTAGAAACGTCACGTGTTTGCTTCTTTCCTCTAATCGTCTCTAATTGGATCTGCCTGCTACTTTTCTCTCTCTTCCCTGCAATTTTAGAGTGTGAAAAAATAATAATTATTATTATTATTATTATTTATTAAAAGAAACAGAGCCTCACCTGTCCTGTTTTGAAGGTGATTGAAGCATCACCCAAAAAACCCCAAATTTAGAAATGGTTATGTGGGTATTTGGGTATGGTTCTCTAATCTGGAAAGCAGGTTTTAACTATGATGATCGTCTCGTCGGTTTCATCAATGGCTATCGTCGTGTCTTTTACCAAGGTCTCTTTCCTTATATATATAAATATAATGTAACTATTTTTTAATTGGTTCTTGAATGATTTCGTTGGTTTTTCTGGGCAGGTAGTACTGACCACAGAGGGACTTCAGAGTACCCAGGAAGAACAGTTACACTGGAGCCTGCAGAGGGGGAGGTTTGTGTAAGTTCCTTTTGTAACCCATTAATTTTTTCCTTGATTTATCATGCATCTCTCACATGATTGTGGAAAAACATGCTTTATCATTTAACTAAATAATTGAAGGGTTTGAGGAGAAGGAATTACATGAATGATTACTTGACCATAGTGTTCGATATTAGGATAATTTGAAGCGTAAACAAATGTTGCACATTACGGATTAATTGTATTAAAATTACGCATAAGGATGCATAATTCACTGTATTTTCTGTGATGGGTGATAAATCGTGTTCAATGACATGCCGACTATGGAAGATATGTGTCAGTAGAGTTACTATTAACATATGGATATTGAGCTTCTATTGACGAAAAAAAAAATTAGGCAGTTAGCTTCAATTTTTTTTTTTTTTGTGAAAGAAACAGACTATCATGTGAAAAACTCTAGAAGCTTGGTAGGTCTCTTAGATTGTCTATGTGACACTGCATGGAATGGACAGGGAAATTTTGTTTCCTGATTCCCCTAGATGCATGTCATCTGGGTGCTATGGCTGGCAAGAAATGCAGCAAATGCTCATGCCCACTCTTCGTGCTATAGTGTTCAATCTTTGTTGTTCCCTTGTTTGTTACAGAAAGAAAATTGATCTCCTAAAATTTGTTTTATTCTCTTGCTAAAATTTAACTAAATGAATTAATGAACCCCAGCTACTTGGAATTACTTCAGGTTGGCTACATGAACCACTATTTATGTTAGCATCTATGATAGCCACGATTATGCATAAATCATGGCTATCATATATGCTAACATATGCATAATCAAATCTCTACTAGAATATGGTAAGTCATTCCATAAATCGTGGCTATCATATATGCTAACAATCTAGCTAAGTGGAATTATGTATTGCAAAGAATCATCCTGGTGGGACTTGAGCATCCCAACTTAAGCTTTAAAAAGTGGCAGTTGATAACCATTTAGCTTCATTTCTTATCCCAACTTAAGCTTTAAAAAGTGGCAGTTGATAACCATTTAGCTTCATTTCTTTTTCTTTTTTTTTTTTCTTGTTATGGACAAGAACCAAATTAGTAAATATAAATAAAGGTTTATATGGGAGAAAGGATAAGAAATGTTTCAAGCCTCAGATAAGTGGAACCCCGAAAAAAGAAATCCCAATAACGAGAGAGCAAAGTACCCCTAAAAATCCTAAAATACCAGACCCCACAACCCGACCCCAGTTAACATCACAATAGCTCAAGAAGGGCAACAATGAGCCATAAGAAACAATATTTTCAACCACCTTTCTTTACAAACAATCATGCCAAATTAACTAATCACTTTTCAAAATCTTTCAGCAGTCAGCAGTCAGCAGTCCTAATTCCCTCATTTTCAATTCATATTTTCAAAGAAAAAATGGTACATCATTTATTCTGTGTCTTGGTTATGGTGAAACCGACACAGAAACTGATAACTTTTATCACTAATTATTCTGATATGAGAATTGATAAAATTTATTAAATTCGTGTGGAACTCTTGGAAGTGTTTACGGAAATATTAATGTGCGAATGAGTACAAACATTGTTAATAAATATGTAAATGAAAAATAAGGATATCTATAGGTATTGTATAAGTGAGCTTCAAAGCACAACAATTGGCTAAAAAGAGATTTATGTTTGATCATTACCGGGAGTATATATATGAATTTCATATTCTTAGTATTGTTACATCAAATCTTAGGGTATAAAGGACAAAATTTAAGAAGTTAAACTTAAATTCTAAGAAGGAGAGAAGCTTGAGGATGTTGAAAAGTTATATATGGGGCTTTTCCTTCTCATGATTTGTGGCTTTACAATTTAGATTTTTAAGTAAATTTGTTCAGGCTGTTGGAGGGCAATATCATGCCATGTGCCTGCTACAAATATTCTGGAATAGCAAATGCTAGTTTGATGATGCTGGAGAGGCACATGGCCTCTTTACTTGATACTAGGAAAATTGTTTCACCAAAAGAACGATCTTTCATGTTGCACTATTTGTGGGCAATATTTCAATCATTGTCGTCATATATTTACAGTAGCTGTTGTTTCAGGCTCCCAAATAGAGGCTAGTTTGTTGCTTGTAAGATCATACTGCCTATAGTTTCTCATCAAAGGTAGATTATATCACGTCTCCATATCACTGATCCTTTGGGATTACTCGGATGCCAATAAATCAAAAGGTCACATCACTAGTAGGAGAAAATTGCTTCCTATTCATTTAAAAAAAAAACTTTGTTGTTTTTCTTAATAAATTATAAATAACCACCCATTTTCATTACGTGCTTATATGCCAATCTTGGAATTCACACAGGTTCTTTCATTGACGATGATTCAGTACTTTTGCCTTTCTTTTCCATTTCTTACCCTCTGTTGTTTCGTAGGTTATGGTGCTACTAAGCATCGAATAAGTTATTTGTTTGCTCTTGAATGATCAAATCTGAAAATACCTGAATTTAACAATCTTTTACTTCATGAGGTCACAGTGGGGAGTTGCCTACAAGATTTCTGGGAAGGAAGATGAGCAGACTGCATTAACGGTATGGTTTTTAATTTCTGAAACCTTTTGGTCCACTTCATTTTCTATTATTTCTTTTTGTGGATCTTCTCTTTTATATTTTTGAGGAACCTTAGCACCAGTCTCATCAGTTTTAACATCAAAGTAGGAAAAGAGGGGTCATTTGTGACATATGAAGATCTTGATTACCAAGGGACATCATATTTCCTATTCATTCAGCTCTGGTGGTTAAAATTTTACTGTGCCTTTCATTTCCCACCTTAATTCCCACTTCTTTAACAAATTCCTGGATCCTTCAGGATAGCTTAAGCTTCAGCTGATTAAATCAAATCACAGGGTATTTCTGTCAACTAGCTCCTTCAACTAAGCTCAGACATCATATGGGATAATGGCAAGGATGATGATGATGATGAATTATGCTAGAATGCTTCTTGGTTTTTTTTTTTTTTTTTGGGGTTTCCTTGTTCTTCTTCTTCTTCTTTGGTCCTCTCATCCTTTCTCCTGCTCTTCTTTCCTTTGGCAGTTCATACTATGAATTAATTTCCGTTGTCTCAAATCTTGATAACTACTGGTACCTTTCAAGGTTGAGAAGATAATGATTACCTTCCAATTGATGTAAAAATTCTGTATTTACCAAACAGAGACATGATCTTTCCTTGTTGATAAATTATTCTTCTTATTTCTATGTTCGTATGCCAAACATATCAATTCTGTTGGAGGTAGTTTTGATTCAAAACTTGATTTGTTCTAGGTTTCAACTGAAGGATTACATCAATCTTGGAGTGAATGTGGACCTACCTTTGTATCTTTGAAATTAGAAATGTTTTTTTGCTGCCAGTAATGCCATTTCATTCATTCAAACATTGTCATCATCAGAAAATTTTCCTTCTACAAGGATCTTGTTCTAGACTTTCATTGAGTTGTTCCATAATATCAATATCACCAATTATCTGTTTCTATGTTGCTTTTCTGTATTTTCAGTTTCACTCATTTGGCTACTTATGCTCTTTACTAATTCCCTTATCACTGGTGTTGCCATTGGTAAGTTCTAACAATGTAGATCGGAATAAGATATGCCAACAATCCATCAAGATCTAACATCGAGAGAGAAATCCATATAAGTTCCAACTAGGAAAAATAGATAAATTAAGAAATTTAAAATACCAGTTGAATGAAACGTGCCAAGCTCATCCAATATCTGAGTTTAGATCTTATTTATAAGTTTTGAAGAGTATATCTAGAATTTGGTGTACTTTCAGAGGTTTAGTCCTGAAATTACGAAAGTAAGTTCAAGAAGTGGCTTGAATCAGGTTTATAAAACTAAGTAGCGAAGTTTCGTGGCAGCACCATATTAGTGTTATAGCCATTACAGTTCAAAATGGCTTTGTAAAGACCAAGCCATGAAATATTGCTAGGAGTTATATTATCTGCCTATAACAGGTTGGTCCCTTGGATATATTGTCATGTTATTGAACCTTGGCACATAGTCGTTTCTTCCTGGTCACCCCAATTCTTTGTGATGGTCGTTTTTTTTCTCCCTATCCATTCTGGACACCTTCATTTTGCAAATTCACATAAATTCCCGAGCTCCAGTTATGTGATTATGTTGCCTTTACTCTTTTCCTTGATTGATTCTATTGTTGTGTGCCATAGACTGGTGTTGCTACTTTTGCCCAAAGACAGCGTGATATTATATCTAATGCCCAACTAGTGATATCAAAGTTAAGATCCAAGTGCACAAAAATTATTATAAAAAGATGTTATTTATTTTATATTTTAGGTTTTAGCAGTTATTTGACGCACTTCTCAGAATCAATGGTTTAGACATTGTGTTGCTCATAATTCTTTGAGTTAATGGATTAGTCCTGAGTTGTTCGTGTGTTTATAGAGCTGAATGTTTTATCTTTAGGGCTATTTTCCACGTAATATCAGAGTTTTCGCTTAGGGTTTGTGGTATAGTAAATATTTCAAGTTTCAAGAATAAGTTAGAGTCGTAGAGAAGGTTACAAAATAACAGCCTAAAGGCGTCTTCAGACACCTATGAGGAGGCAAGGGAGGGCCCTCCTGCCAGTTTGCAATTGCCTTGAAGCCAAGGACTTAAAATTTCACCTTTTGGTTGGTGGTTAAATGGGTATGGAGATGGAGGTGGTGGAGTGTTGTGTCAATACGAATATTGTGAGAATACCCATATTGCAAAAGGAGATGAATAAACATTGGAATGTATATAAGCATAGGATTTAGTTTCATCATATTCATCACCACTGGAATAATCATGCCATTGATACATAATATTTCTATTTGAAGGAATACAACTATAGAGAAAAGAAATTACACTAATTGAAAGTGCATGTAAGTAAAGCTACAATGAAGTAAACCTAAGGTGCAAGTTATGTAAAGCACTATGCTAGAAAAAGAAAGTAAATTACATGAAAGATAAATGACACGAGAAATGAAGTACAACAAAGTAAGGCATGGGTACAAGTATGTAAAGCTAAGAAGCCTAAGAAAAGTAGAGTTGCAAAGATAAAATTAAGAAGATGAAGCCTTGGGTTTGTTGATCGTGTGATCCTTTGTCTGGAGGAGAGATCTTCCTTTTATAGAAGATGCATGGGCTAATGAGCTTGAGAAATGGGTCTCCTTGGTCCACTAGAAGCTTGATATGTGTCAACTCATCATGACTTCCAACTTTTGGATTTGACAATTCCATTGATTTGACAATTACTTGCCTTGTAAATGATACATTCATTAAATGCATGAAAGACATGTGATATATATAGCAAGGTTCTATAGCAATCCCTTACTTTATGGGATTTGAGTTGACTAATGACCATGAGATGGAATTTGTCTAGGGGCAAAGGGTGATTACGGCCCTACCTAAGGCCATGAGACCACCCCCTTAGAGCCCAAGGCCACGCCATTAGAGTCCAAGGCCATGAAGCCATGCCCTTAGAGTCCAGGGCCACAAAGCCACACCCTTAGGGTCTTGCCCAAGGCCTTCAGATGGCTTTTATAGGAGGCTGTGGGTGCTTATAGCTTTGCCCAAGGTTATGGGTGCTTTGGCTTTGCTCCATGGCCATGGGATTACAGCCCTACCTAAGGCCATACGACCTTGCTCCACGGCCATGAGTTCCAAATTGCATGCTAAATTTGGGTTCAAACAAATGGGAAGAAACTTAATGAATCCTACATTATGAAAAAATTATGAATAAACAGTACATAAAGAAAAAACTGTACAAGTTGCAGATGCAAGAGAGTTCAGGTTTGTACTTTGTAGCAGTTTATGAATACCTTCCATGCTGTCTGCCTAGTTACTTACCTTTATTGTGGAACTTTATGAAATAGATAAGGCCAATCTTCTATTACTTATTTTCTTTTTCTTGCAACCATCAGACTACAACTTTCAAAATGAGGCTTTAAAATTTGATGAGGTCACAAGAATGCTCTTGTCCAATGAGAAGCAGAAGATATTGGTTGTTTTCTATCACATTTATAGGGACTTGTTATGAAGTCTGAATCGAAGCATGGAAAATATATAATTAGAAGTAGAAATTTTGATTAAATAAAATTTTCAATTGTGTTATAGGTATTTGAGAGATATTGTTTCTCATTATTGTCACAAGAAGGGCCACATCTAAAGGTGTTTGCAACCAAATTTGCAACCATGGCCACCAAGCAAGGCCGTCATTTCATGGCCTTGTGCACTGTAATCCCATGGCAACGGAGCAAGGCCGTGTCCCATAGCTTTGGGCAAAGCCATAATCACCCATGGCCTCCACACAAAAGACATCTCAAGGCCTTGTGCTCTAAGGACATGGCAAGACCCTAAGGCTATAGCTTTGTGGCCTTGAGGCTTGGTCCCCAAGACCGTGGCCTCTTGGCTTTAGACTCTAAGACTCTTATCTCATGGCTTTGGGTAGGTCATTGGACGACTAAGAATGGCATGCTTGATTAGTCAACTCAAATCTCATAAAGGATGAGATTTTTGTACAACCCTGCTATATATTTATGTATGTGTGTATATATATCACGTCTTTCATGCATTTAATGAATGCGTCATTTACAAGGCAAGAAATTGTCAAAGTTGGAAGTCATGATGAATTGCCACATTTCAAGCTTTGAGTGGACCAAGGAGACCCACTTTCACAAACACCTCTCCAATAAATTAAAGCTCTCCTTCTCCAGTGCAGGGATCCCACAGGACAAGCCCGAGTCCGATTGTAGGACTCTTGCACGCCCCGCACACCTGATGGGCCAGAAAATGTGGAAACAGAAGTTTTTGTAGAAACTCGAACCAAAATTTTAGGGATAAGAAAAATGAGAATTGAGAAGCCATGATACATGGCAATTGGCAAGTGTTGCGGCAGCAAAATTGAATACGAGTGAAGCACACATTTTCACAATTTCCACAGGTGCAAGTTATTTTGCTAGATTCCTTTTTTTCTAGATTCTAGATATTCCCAACCATAAACATTGCTTCAATGTTGACCAACCTTGCAGTGCTGGTACTATTTTAATGGGGAATCAACTGTAAGGCTATAAGAATAGGTCCTTGTCGATTAGGATGTTTGATGGAGTTGTGAGGATATCTAGTGACATTGAGTGTGTTACAAAACTTGGAAAGAATTTGATATCCTTGGGTGTGTTGGTTTCTTCAGATGTTGCCTTTTGGCAATCATTGAAATGATATAGGTTATCGATAATCATGAATAGTAGCAGCTTTATTATATCTATAAGCTAGTTCTAAACACAGTGACAAGTGTTGTTGCAGTCTTTACACAAGCAGTTACTGCTGTCACCATCTCCATTCCAGCAGCTAGTGTCTGACACGGATTATATGAAATTGTAGCTTATAAGGCAAGAACATACGAACAAGCGTGGCATGTTTTGAATTTCATAAACAGAAGTTGATGAAGGGAGTATTTGCAAGTTGGATTTCTATTGTGTGCTTGGTATACAAGACTTTCGAGTACACTAACTGGTTAAAGTAAGTGGTGTTAGGTCTTATCTTATTTATTAATTACTATACAAGGAAGGTAAGATCCACTTGGAAAGACAAGTCAAAATTCTATGGGATATTCAAAATGGAAGATAGTGGTGGAGAAGCTGATAGATATACAACAAAATTGCATCATGGCTGAAGATGACGAGTAAGACAGAAAAAACATCAATGATGTTCTTCAAGAAGGGAGGAATTGTGCCACATAATTTTTTTTTGATAAGTAAAATATATTAGAAAAACATTCAAAAGGGGAACGCGTCCCTAATACAAAAAAACAGAAACCCTAAGGACCAATAGAATCCAAAAGGTCAAAAAGATCAGCAATCGAGGAGCAAGCGCTTCCTCTAACATAACAGAAAAGAGAACGGGGAATATGAGATTTTAAGTGAGCAATAGTTGATTCTTTCCCTTCAAAATTTCTGTTGTTTCTCTCTTGCCAAATATACCACCAAACACAATGTGGGACAATCCTCCAAAAAGCACGTGCATGACCTTTAACTGGGCATCTTCTCCATGCGTTGATTAATTGAAAAGAGTGTTCAGGCATCACCCACTGAACACCGAAAATGCTGAAAATTAAATTCCAACAATCAAACGCGATAGGACAAGGCATGAGAATGTGATCCACGGACTCTCCATCTGTTTTGCATAAACAACACCAATTCACAATGGTATTACCCTCTTTCTCAAATTATCCAATGTCAAAATCTTTCCCCAGGTGGTAGTCTAAACAAAAAATGCAACTCTAAGAGGAGCTTTAGAACGCCAAATAAACTTCCAAGGGAATTCATAGCCATTAAAGTTGGACAAACACATGAACATGGATCGTACTCCATATTTACCAAGAGGGGAAGGCACCCACACAATATCATCACAACCTCTGCCAACATCCTTCTGTCTATACAGCAAGTCCAACAAAGCGCAAACTTCTGTTAACTCCCAATCCTGAAAAGAGCGTCTAAAACGCACATCCCACATAACCCCACTGTTATCAAGATGATAACAATCAACTACGTAAGAATGCTTGTTTTCGCTAATACTAAATAGGCGAGGAAAAGAAAGAGACAGCAGCTGATCACCACACCACAAATCTTCCCAAAAGCGAACGTGCCTACCATTGCGAACTTTGAATCTAATGTGGGTGGAAAACACATCCTAACCCTTTCGAATGAATTTCCACACGCCAACGCCGCCTGTGACAAAAACAAGACGAGAGGACCAACCCCCACTCTCCTCCCCAAATCGACACGAGACAACTCTTCTCCACTGATAATGACGCTTTTTACCAAATCTCCACAACCACTTACCCAATAAAGCTCTGTTGAAAGGGACCATCTTCCGAATACCTAAACCACCAAATTTCAAAGGTTTGCAAACTTGGTCCCAATTAACAAGATGATACTTGATCCTCTCCTCTTCCACCCCAGAGAAAGTCACGCTGAATTTTTTCAATCCGTTCAACGATAAAGCATGGGATCTGAAACAGAGATAAAAAATAAGTGGGAAGGGATGAGAGGGTACTCTTAATAAGAGTGACCTTCCCCCCTTTCGAGAGATACTGTTTTTTCCATCCTGCCAATCTCTTTTCATACCTATTGACCACCGGATCCTAACTCCTCACTATCCTGGAGGAAACCCCCAAAGGCAATTCCAAATAAGGAAGTGGAAAAGCGCCCGCAGCTAAAGAGGAGATATCTGGAACATCCCCCACTGGAACAATCACGCTCTTTCCTACATTGATTTTAAGACCGGACACCGCTTGGAAACAAGTAAGAATGCACCTCAAGTATCTCAATTGAGAGACGTTAACATCACAAAAAACCAAGGTATCGTCCGCGAACAACAAATGGGAAATCTCTATCTGATTAGCAGTTTCTCTACCAACTCTGAAACCCCTGATAAAACCCAAATCCTCAGCTCTTTTCATTAATCTACTCAACCCCTCCATGACAATGAGAAATAAGAAGGACGATAGGGGGTAAGCTTGTCTCAAGCCACGCGAACTCGCAAAAAAACTAGCGGGAGATCCGTTCACAAGCACCTAGAACATAACGGACGAGATACAAGTTTTTATCCATTTAATCCACCTATCTCTGAACCCCATCCTCCGAAGCCAGTAAAGAAGAAACTTCCAATTCACGTGATCATAGGCTTTCTCAATATCAAATTTACATAGGATACCAAGAACACCACTCTTCAACCTAGAGTCAACAGATTACCCTGCAATAAGGACAGAATCCAAGATCTGTCGTCCCCCAACAAAAGCGTTTTGTGATTCTGAAATAATTCTGTCCAATGCATTCCGCATTCTAAGAACGAGAACTTTGGCGATGAGCTTATACATGCAACCCACTAAACTGAATGGTCTAAAATCCTTAATATCACAAGCGTTACCCTTCTTAGAAATAGGGGCAATAAAAGAAGCGTTCAAAGATTTCTCAAAAGTGCCATGAGAATGAAAAACCTGAAAAGTGTTCATCACCTCACTGCGCACCACCTCCCAACTCTCCTTGAGAAATCGCATAGTAAAACCGTCAGGCCTTGGAGCTTTATCCCTGTTACAACTAGATAACGCCTTAAGAACTTCCTCTTCAGTAAAAGGAACCTCAAGCCCGTCACTATCCAGCGAAGAAATAGAATTGAAATGCAACCCATCAAGTTTAGGTCTCCATTCCAAAGACTCAGTGTAAAGCTGCTGATAAAAAGAAACAATTCTCCCACGCACCTCATCTTCTCTCCACAACTCTATACCATTCACACAGATATGCCCGATGTGATTACATCTTCTATGGGCATTAGCAAGTCTGTGAAAGAATTTTGTATTACGGTCACCTTCTTTGAGCCAAAGTGCCCAAGATTTCTGATGCCACGAAATCTCCTCCATAATAGCAATCTCTGCAAAAATCGCTTGACAAGACGCTCTTCTAGAACGTAAAGACTCCACGTCTTGCCCTAGCGCGTCAAGACGGTCAGGTTCAGCAATATCAGCCAAAACTCTATTCTTCTTCCATTCAAGATTCCCGAACACCTCTTTATTCCATTTCTTAAGTTCAGATTTGAGAACCTGAAACTTCCTAGCTAAGACATAACTAGGAGAACCTGTAAAAGATGCTTCCCCCCACCAAGACTGAACTTTCCTTTGAAAATCCTCAGATCTTAACCACATAATTTTCAAAACGGAAAGGCGTACGTCTGGATCTCATCCCTCCACAATCAAGAACTAAGGGTATATGGTCGGACGTTACCCTAACCAAAGCCGCTTGAGTAACATCAAGGAACTTTTCTTCCCAATCCCCAGAAATCAGGAACCGATCCAACCTTGAGAAAGTGATACCATTGGACCAAGTAAAAGCAGCCCCTACTATTGGCAAATCGACAAGGAAATGGCCATCGATGAAATCAGAAAACTGGGTCATCTCCGAAAACTATGCCACATAATTTAACTACAAAAAAACTGCAGTAAAACGTGGTTGAAAAGATTGGATGCATGATGGTAAATGCACTATCACAGAAAAGTTTCTGAGCTGAGGTAGTGAACACGGCTTGTTTAATTGTTAAAACAAGTCTCTGTCCACGGTCCACCACTACTGGTTTTAGATAGCTAGAGGAAGTGTGGACGAATATTCTGGTTTTATTCTTTTTGAGAATATTTTGCATGAATTTGTATCAAGAATGATGACATGCCTGATTGCATGACTTTATATTACCTTTTGTTGGAAAAATTTTGCGTGCTTGTTTATTTATTCTTAATTATTCTTGCATGGAAGCACCTTATTGTATTCCTCGGTGAGTTCTTCCAGGCCCTTTTAAGTCTGCTCTTGTAGCTTTCCTTTTCTTCATTTGCAATTTATCAGCCTCTTACATATTCTCTCCAAATTTTCATGCAATGCTACTTCCTTTTTTCTTTGGTGTTTAATCTGCTATTAATGATGAATATTATAGTTATGTGCCTATCTTGTACCCAATTGTAATCTCTTGACATCCAAATTTTCATCTAATCCCTTAAGATATTACCATATTTCCTGCGTATGTTGCTGCTGGTGTTGCAGTACTTCATTTCTTGGGGTAGGACCTGTCCAAAACCCTAATTGTTTCTAATATATCAGTCCACTTCCAATAAATAGCTCAATGTGAGCATGAAAAAATTGGATAGGATTTCAAAATTTTGACTTAATTTTCTTACATCGTTACTTAATTTTCTTACATCTTTTAAATTGTACAAGTAAATCAGTAAATGAATGAACATACTTCTACAGCTTTAAGCAGATTTCTTATCTGAAGAGCTTAAAGTTTTTTTTTTGTTTTTTCTTTCCCCAATTAATTACAAGTTCAAATCATTTTGTCCTTCAAGATCGTTATATTTTCAATCTAATTAAAGGTTTGTAAAATTAATGGAGTAGCGGTATTCAACTGCACCTTCCTCCTTTTTTATCATTTTGTTAGCTTCCAGCCAACATATAATATGTATTCTGTACTAATAGAGCACCCTTGAATGATGTATTGGCCAGTATCTAGAGGTGAGGGAGAAGCAATACGACAAGAAGGCATACGTTGACTTCTATACTGTAAGTTGTGATGCCAAAGTTCATTGCAGAATTATCTTTACACCTCTCAAAACTTTTCTGGTGCGTGTATCATTGTGGGTTTATCAATTATGTAAATTAGAGCCTATAAATTGTGTTTCAGGAGCCAAAAGCTTCAACACCAGCAGTTTCTGGAGTAATGGTGTAAGTGCAGAAACCACCATATAATTTTCCATTATTCCACGTACGCAGTTGCTTGATTCTCCATTAAATCAAAACTAACACTTGGACATTGTTAGATACATAGCATCTTCAGACAAGAAGCTGAACAGGAATTACTTGGGTCCTGCATCGGATGAAGAGATCGCCAAGTATGCAACTTTCTTATAATTATTTCATCGTAAAAAACTTCCTGTGTGGACTTTATATTTTTCGAAAAATCTTGGATCTTAGTGCTCAGGTCTCCACTTTATTCCCCACTGAATGAGCTATTAAGTTGACAGAAACAATTTTGAACCTTTTACACTACAATGTAGAAGCAAATGGTTACTTTTTCTCAGATGAAGATTATTACCATTTTGTTATACAAATTGTGCAGACAAATAGTTCGCGCGCAAGGCCCTTCAGGACCCAACAGAGACTACCTTTTCCAACTTGAAAAGGCCCTTCTTCAAATTGGTAAGGTTTTTCCGGACCTCTTTTAAATTAAAATGCCAGCTATTCCAGACTAGTTTGGTTTCAGTTTTATGTAAAACAGTTTTTGAAAAAAGAAAAAGTGTCTTGAGTGCGTTATAAAAGTTAGGTAAATTACATTGACGTCTCCTGGAGTTTAGACAACTTACACACGGGTAGACCATCTAACGTTTTTTACTTTGACCTCCCTTGAAATTTAGTACGTGTACTCAACGACACTCCTAGCGTCTTCTTTCCAGCAGACCTGACCAAATTTTATAAAATGACAATTTAGTCATTCCCTTGTATAAAATGCAATATAATTTATTATTATATTATAAGGGCATTACTGACTTTTTACACTCAAAGTCACTTTCCGGCCGTCGGATAACGGGTTTAGGGAAAGTCAAAGTAATAAACACTGAATGATGTACCCATATGTAATTTGCCCAAACCTCAGGCTTTTCTTACTCGGTTTTCAATCGTATATTTCAAAAAACTGAACTGTTTTCCCATTTTCTCTTTGTGATTGCAGTAAAACAGTAATGGTGATTATCATCATCATCATAATAATTCTTTCTTCTTCTTCTTCTTCTTCTTCTTTTTTTTTTTTTTTAACTTTTTTCTTGAATCCACTTAGGATGTGAGGACAGGCATGTGATGGATCTTGCAAAGGAAGTGAGGCGCATCATTTCAGAGAGCGAGTTATGAACAATTAGCAAGAACTCCTTAGACATTCATTCAATCAATTCTTCAGAAGCTACGTTTTAAAACAGATTTTGAACTCGTTGAAGAAACATTGTTTTAGATCAGACTTGCAATTATTGGTGTCAATTATGAAGCCTCTTTCCCATTCAAGTGAATCTCAAGAATGGGACTTGAAGCTTTTCCAATAGTTTAAGTTGCAACTTTGAAATGGAAATAAACACCATCATTTATTTAGATAGAGGCATGTCGATTTGTATGTCACATTTTCTTCAATTTATTTAAGTGAAGATCCTCGGTATAGTATTTGCTGTTCCAGTTATTGTTAACGCTAAAATGCATTAAACCGCGCGCACACACACACACACACACAAAATGTCACACATAAGCCCAAGACTTTAACGGACCAACAATTTCGACTGCATTGGACACCTCCAACTCATGATTGTCGAACGGATGGATGTGAAATCGTTGTCAAAGAAAGAGCCTAAACCTCTGAGGGATTATGGGATTTCAAGGGAGACGATGATTTGGAGCCTGTGGCAGGGGAGGCTTTTGATGTCGGCTATCAAGGTGTCAATGAAGCAGTCTGCGTCGGTTACTAGGGTTTTGATGTTATCATTGAAGAAAGTCATTGTATAGAGCTGGTAAGAATGATATGGTTACTTGAAGCTTGAAATGATGATGCTCACAACAGTTTCAAAGGAGAGAGAGAGAGAGACTGCAAATAAGGTGGTTAGTATTTCTGGAACGAATGTGGTAATTGCAAACTTAAGAGGGTTGTTAAATTGGTTCAATATTTAACCAAGAGCTGATCAGTGAGAAGATTCAAATTTCAGAGTGATATGATCGGTGAGAACAAATAAAAGAATCGATTTTTGTAAATATCTCAAATTTATTCACAAATTGCACCTCTCTAAAACGTAGTAATATAAATGACACTTGAAAGAACTCTAGTGTTGCTTTAAACAAGTTGACTTTTGCAACTACTCTTCTCTTGGGTTCAGGGACGGACCTACAGAGGAAGGAGGGGGAGCAATTGTCCCCCCTGGAAAAAATAAAAATTAAAAATTAGCATTAAGTAACTGTATTTTTTTTTTTTTTTTTTTTTTTAAGTTAATACTTTTGAAATTTTACCATTGACCCCCGAAATTATAAAACAAATTCACTTTTACCCCTTGCTCAGTATCCTGGGTCCGTCCCTGCTTGGGTTTGCGTAGAGAGAGAGGAGTCAAAAGTTGATCTGGTTTTGGTTCGAATTTGAGATAAAAAAGCAAGCTGGTATGAAATTTCAAAAAGGGGTAGTGGTGGTAAAAGGCATCTGATACAAAACTTTTCTTTTCAATTTATTACCTTTTTCAATTTTACCATTCAATTTAACTCACCGGTAGACTGTAGAAGAGGATTTTGATCCCGCACTAACAGCATTGCACCACAAGAAGGCAGACACAGCATAAACACAAACTTTGAAAGCCAAAAGGGACCAAGACCAAAAGAACACAAAAACACTGCTAATTGAAGACTGATCGGATCAAAAGAAGTTAACGATCCACAACCAAACCAGCAGCAAAAGGATCACACACAGAATTCCACCCAATTTTAACAATAAACCAAAATGACAGCAGACGCAAACCAATACGACAGAGCAGTAGTGAAAGACGCAAGCCTTGAGCAAAACAGCTGAATTTCCATCCATAAACTAGTTGAAGTTGAAGAATATTGTTCGATCTACATAAATGGAAATATCGTACCATGAACATCTAGTCCTTTTAACCTGTTCGTTACTTAGATATCTCGCTATTTACCACTACAAAGGTCAAACGAGAAAGAGAGGGAGGAGGAGGAGGAGGGAGCAACACTTTCATCAAGCATCTATGCCTTCATGTGTCTACTAAACCAGCTAAGTCGGCAGATCTTAAGAATAAAGTTCAAAGCATGTTTATCTCACAGACCACCAGTTCTTACAGAATAAATTAAATATTATAAGGATGTAGAATGCAAAATACACACATTTGTAATTTCATGATGGAGGCTCTTGGTATAGTCATCTTGCAAATCAACTTATGCATGATCACTCGCTGTCATCCTCATCTGCAAATAAAAGAAAGATCATGTAAGGAGTCTGAAACGGTAGCTAAACTTGTCCAATCCGGGGATTTTTGTTACAAACAAATAGATAAAATACAGAAGTATATGTAGATACCTATCAAAAATAGATAAAATCATCATCATTGGTGCTTTTTAAGAGTTTATAATGTTCTTTGGGCAGGAAATTAAGGGGACACCTAATTCTTCTTTGAATATTGTCTCTGTGATTTAGAGATTATTCCAATTTAATATAAAGAATAGCGGCACATTCAAGTTCTATGGAAATCTAAACCAAGGGCCTTAGTCCTCGGACTCAATTATGATTACAGGTTTGAGGCTCGACCAATCCTGTGGAAAGGCCTAGTACTACCATTAATGTGTTAAACAATTTAACTAATAAAATAATCTCTCCAATCTTGATGCATATTAAAATTGTCTTGGGAGGAAAGCAAACCATGGATAAACTGACGGGGGAGACTAAGATCTGTTATTAAACCAAGGATAGAGGTAATGTCACTAGTCAACACAAAAAAATTGAATATTAAGATTGCTTGATAAATTTGATGACTCGAGATTGCCTGAGTATCCCACCAAAATTTGAATGAGTCCACATTATACAAAATATCAACGTTAAAAATAAAAAATAAAAAATCACCTTGAAAGAAACCATTTGTGAAGTATATCCATGTCAAAACACGACGCGAAAATAGTTCATAAACTCATAAACAATGATGATGGCAATCATAGAGAAAAAACATTGTCTCAAGTCTCCTATCTTCCTGGACATCTCACTCAAGATGATGAACTTTTACGTTAAAAGAATATTAAATAAATTGTAAATTAGACCATTCAAATTCAAGGGACATTCAAAGGGCCACTCAGTAACTCCACTTATGGTATCCCAAATTATCTGATTACACTAGATATGCCATTTATAGTTCTTGAACAACATCTAAGTATGTAATAAGAACTGCATCCACTTAAGCAAATTAAAGGATATCATCACAAACAAATAGGGCCATTTATGTGGAGAAGCTCATAAAATATTAACTATGGAAAACAAAGGGGAACATCTCCTTAAGCAAATACCTTCATTGAAATCTTCGCTTTGGCTGTCGTCACCATCTTCAGCATCATCTTCGTTGTCGTCATCATTTTCCTCGCCCTCATCATTGTTGTTGGTATCATCTGTATCATCATCACTTTCAACAGGTATTTTGGGTTTTGGAGGAGCTACAAAAAAGGAAGTGGACCGTCTGCGTGAACTTGAAACAATATTGCTCATGTCAATGCCTTCAAGTTCTTTTGCTCTTTGCTTTTGCTTTCTGACTTCTTTCATTTCTGAAAATAAAAAGCACATGCTGTCATTCCATATAAAAAGAAAAAAAGTGCACGCTTCCATAAACTAAGCTAGGTGGTTGCATTTATACATGCATTAACCACATCTAAACACAATTGCCAGATTAATCACCATGAGACTCGAGCATGTCCGGAGCATCTAAAGGTACATTAATGATCAACTTCGAGGAAAATGACATTCATTTTTCACTAGAAGTATATATTAATATTGCAAATCATGCAAACACAAACCCCAAAACATCGTATTAAAAGAGATCATTCAGGTTTTCCCATGAAAGAATGTGATTGTCTGAAGTTCAGCGTCAGATATGAGATTGCAGGATTTTGTGGAAGAAAGTAAAAGGAAAAGATAGAACAGTTCCCTTTAAATTGTATGGATAAGCAACTAATACAACCTCCTTAACAAATCCATTAAATGGCCATGTCCAAGCAAATATTTATACTGTGGGTTCACACTGGCACTAAGAGCATATCTACCACCAGTTATAGGATCAACTTTGTGTGGCGCATGATTCTTTGCTTCATAGGGAAGCTGTCACATGTGGTGGGATTTGTGGTGCGAGAGGAACATGAGATCCTTCAATGGTTTGGAAGCTCCAATTTGGGTGATAAAGCATTACATTTTGAGTTCTCTATTTTTTCGCGTTAAAGGGCGGACATGTAAATCTGTGGAAGACATTGTAGATTTTGTGGATAGTTTGTGAGTATAGAGAGTATAGAGTTGGTCTCTTTTGTGCAGTTATTCTTTGGGTGGAATTCTCCTTTGAGTGCTCTTTAAAGGAATCTTACTTATCAAAAAAAATAAAAAAATAAAAATAAAAAATAAAAAACAGAAGATATTTTGCTCCATAGCACGCTACTAGGAAATATTCACATGCCTTTCAAGTGTGATGTAAGGAACAACACTTATTTAAGTGGTAGCATGTTCAAAAGTGGCCGACCAAGAATTTGGGATAAAGGCTGCATCAAATTAAGTTATGTTTTAAGCTATGTGCAAAACACTGTATATAACATAAAATTCTACATATAAATAGTAACTATTGTGTTTATATATTACACACACACACACACAAACACTTGCATGTATAAATATAATTGATAGGCACTTGTGATTCCATGGTCCTTCCAGAATGTTACTTTCGTGCTCGTGCTATGGTTAATAAGGTGAGTATTGTAAATATAACAACCACTTATAATATTTATGGGAACTTTGATTCAATGGTCCTTCCAGAATGCTACTTTCATGCTAACTTTATAAAACAAATAATGGGAGAACAACAAAGAAGGTTAGAGAAACCTCCAAAACAGAACAAATCCAACCAGCAGAGAGACAGAGACACAGAAAAAATCCAAAACCCTCCACTAAGAAAATCCTTGTAAAAGAGATTTCAACAGGAATGGCACTTGTTTTTAAGGAACTCACTTGTAATGGAATTACACTCCAAACTGGGTTGGTTATTAAGGGCGTAACTAATTGTAAGTCGCATCGTGTATGTATTTCATTGTTAGTTTTCATATCATATCACATATCATAAGATCATTTTAAATCCTAAGACAAAATCAAATTAAAATTAGAACGTTTATGAGAAAATATATCTACTATACTGAGAAATTTTCAAAAAAATCGTTTCATTTACATGACTAAATGTTGGATATTATCTATTTGTTTATTAAATCTCTTTCATTGCAACAACTGTGGAACAAACTCTATAATACCATACATATATAATATAAATCTTTCCAATGGTTCACTTTAAAACAAACAAACAAAATAAAAAAATAAAACCTTGTTGCTTAAATTCTGGATACTTGTCTTTACTAACTACTTTTTCTTTTTCTTTTTTTGAAAGTAAGATTTCATTAAAGAACACTCAAAAGGGGAGCGCATCCCAATATACAACTGCATGGAAGCTCAAAATACCTATACTCAACATATCCACAAAATCCACGCCCGAGGAGGGTGACAGCAAGAGCTTATCCTACAAATTGACTTTCAGATGCTCTAACAATACAGCTGAATACGAAGATCTAGTGTTGGGCTTACTCACGGCCAAAGAAGCAAGAGTGAAGAGATTGCGTATTCAGGGGGGCTCGAACCTTGTTGTGAAGCATCAATGGTTCATATGAAATCAGAGAACTGCTCTGTCAGCCTATACAACAGCCATCTAGAAGCTCATAATCATTTTGATGAGTTACATATCAAGCATGCCCCTCGAGCTGTTAATCGACACCCAGATGCATTGGCTACACTTGCTTCGAAAGTAAATGTGCCTGGGAGCCTTTTAAATGTTAAAATCCAGAGGAGAGGCGCATCATGCATTCATAATGAAGAATTTGTTGAACAAGTCCTAAGGGGATTGAAGAAAGGAAATAGAATCACAACTGAAGAGTGGAAAAGGAGACATGCCTACTGCTGTGCTGAAAGATTACTCAATCTACTTGGGGACACTTTATTTCAGGGCACTGGGCGGAATTTTGGCAAGATGTGTGAGTCTCGAGGAGGCTAGCCCAAAGCTCCAAGAGACGCACAATCGCACTTGTGGCAATGGATCAGTTAGTTTGTACTTAAGGATGCAAAGGCAAGGTGTACCTAAGGATGCAAAGGCAAGGCTACTACTGACCTTCAATGTCGCAAGACGCAAGCACGCTACAGAAGGCCTGTTAATCCTGCAAAGAGGTCCACGAACACACTAAATATGCCACTATTCATCAGGAAGATTGGAGGCAGAAGTACCTCGTCTACATCGAGTGCCGAGTGCTATCCCTGGATCGAACTAAAGCTACCCTGGTGAGAAAAGGGGTAGCTCACTTCTTTACTAACAATGGGCAATTGATGAGAAGAGGATTCGATGGTGAGCCCAAAAATAGCTTCGGCAAATCTGAAGCACAAGTACTGCATAAAGTTCACGAAAATGAGTATGTGGCCATGTGGGTAGAGGCTGTAGCTCTAAAAAAGTAAACGGGCCCCTCAATCGCCAACTTTATCAAAGAAAAAATTATCTCTTGATTTGGGGTACCAAGGGTAATCATATCGAATAATGGAACTCCCTTTATCAATAGTCAAGTCTGGAACCTCCTCAACTCCTATGAAATCACCCATCATTAGTCCACCCCTTGCTACCCTAAGCTGTATTTGGTGTGCAGGAATGGAATGGAATCAAATGCCCCTTCCAAGTATTGCTTTGTTTGGCACGAAAATTAAAGTGAGAATGACAAATCCTAAGGAGTAAAAATTCATTCCACAACTAAACCAATGGAATGACAATTCCATTCCCAAGTAATTTTTTTAAAAAAATCAAATTCCAAAAAAACCCTCATGTTCCAATTTAAGTCCAAAAACCACGAGCATCGCCTTCCACCACCGCTACCTCCACTATCTTCCACCACCGCCAATACTGTCACCGCCTTCAAGCCACTTGCTAGTAGGGCTGCAAATGAACCAAGCCGAGCCAAGCTTTGACTTGCTCGGGCTCGGCTCGAGCGAGCTTCGCCTGGCAGAAATTTGACAAGCTTGGGCTCGGCTCGGCTTGGCTCGGGCTCGATTTCATAACACAGCAACTACCGATTCAAGAAATCACCATGATTTCTTCCATGAAATCTGATCATCTCTGACAAGAAAGAAGTTCAGCCAATCTCCATCTCCAACTAGAAAGAAAAAGAAAAAATACAGAACATGTATTCAAGATGAAATAAAAGCTTACAATGTTTTATCAACTCTCTAGCATAATCAACTCGATCTACACATATATTGCACTGCTGAACCTCAAGATCTATTTGGGAGAGAGAGTCTTGTCGCATTAGGATGGCTGCCGGCAAGATCATGTGGCGCGGTTGAAATCTAAAAAGAAGTCTTGCAGCTATAGACATATATGTCTAGGTTTATTCTTATCTTTTAAGAGAACCAACAGCTGAGATGAATTGAAGTTTAGTGGCTGAGATTAAATCTGATTTGGATGATGGGCTAATGAATTATATAATTATTGAGCCTTATTATTGAATTGATGGGAGTTGGGCCAAAATGGTATTTATATGGGCTAAACCTTTTTCATGTAAAATGATAAATAAAAATGGACCTTTAAAAGTTAACAAGCTTGCTCACAAGCCTAACGAGTCGAGCTCAATGTTGCTCAAGCTCAACTCGTTTACTAAACGAGCCTAGAAATTGAGCTCGAGTTCGGCTCATTTACTAAATCAACGAGCCCGAACCGAGCTTTTAATGAGCGAGCCCGAGCTGTTCATGAGCAGCTCGGTTCATTTGCAGCCCTACCTGCTAGATGAATCCATCAAAGGATTAGGTAAGTTAACTGATGAGAATAAAATAATTTGAAGTTAACCAACCAAGATAATTGCAGAGTCCATTTTTCAAATCCTAGATTCCATCCGTGGTTGCTATTTCGATTGAGAGGCTTCGGATGAGCTTTCTATGGGGTGGCTTACAAGGAGAATTTAAGTATCACCTTGTCCATTGGGAGCAGGTTTGTAGGCCGATTCAGGCCGGAGGCCTAGGGATAAGGAGGTTGGTGCCATTTAACAGGGCCCTCCTTAGTAAGTGGTTGTGGAGATTTGGAGTGGAACGCCATAGGCTGTGGAGGAGGGTTATTTTGTGCCGGTTTGGGGAAGAGACGAGGGGGTGGTGCTCATGTTTGGTGAGGACTCCTGCTGGTGTCGGTGTTTGGAAATCTATTAGGAAAGGATGGAATGAGTTCTCCAAACACATCAGATTCAAAGTTCAGGATGGAAGGGACGTGCCGTTTTGGGAGGATCTTTGGTGTGGGGATTGTACCATTGCTTGTTCATTTCCCAGATTGTTTAGGATTGTTGTTGATAGGCATGCCTCGGTTGCTAACTACTATCGACTTGATAGCGGGAGGTTGACTTAGGATGTGCAGTTTGTGAGAGTTTTTTAGGATTAGGAGTTGGATGACATTTACGGGTTGTTAGATCGTTTGTATCGGCATGAGACTCGTGGCAGAGGCAGAGAT